CACAAGCTTCCCGGTACCAGGTGTACTGATGCACTATTCGATGCTCGAAGGTGTTTATAATGGACAATCCTTTGTTTGCGCAAAACCGCAACAACTTCATGCCGTTATTGTTGAGGTCGCTAGGACCATTTTTCCCAATCACGCCGTTCCACTTTTCAACGTCTAGTCCGACGTGGGCATTAAAATCGCCCATCAGTATGAGGGACTCTGTAATCGGCACCGGACAGAGCACACTGCACTTCTTCAAGGAAGGTCTCATATTCTCCCTCTAAATCGGGCGCATATATTTGTACCAAGGTCAGCGCTTTGGCGTGTTGTAATTTCAGACGGTAGATTACCACTCTTCCGCTGCTAGGCTTCCATTCTATGATTCTCTCAGCCAGCGTGCGTTGTACTAGATCACCTGCAACGGCCGAACGCGCGTCTTGATATCGACCCCTGAGTAGAGTAGCTTCTACCCGCTGAGGTTCAGAATTCTAGATCCTTGGCGCTTCGATGGCGAGAGTCCAACAATGTGTAGTTGGCACTTTATTTCCTCATCTACTAACTCTTGTTTTTTCCATCTGAATGAAGATATACTCTAATTTCCTTATGTAAGCTTCCACTGGCGGTGTCGTTGTCATGGAGCCTTCTTTGACTTGCTGTAATGGCATCGTGCTGTCGGTCTCCTCCGTTCAGAACGGATTGCTCCATTGCTGTCTGGTATCTTCGTCGTCGTTCCGTCGGTCTTCATCAGCCGTTGTTGTGCTATTCCGTCCCACTATGACAGAGGGCAATTGGCAGTCTGCCTCAGTTCCTCAACAGCTTATTACATCCGTGGTAACCCGGGCGATGATCGAGCAGGCATAATTTTCGATGGCTTCAATACGATGAGTAGCAGGTGGCGAACTGAACAGGATCAGCTAAGAAATGTGCATTTAGGTGAAATAAAAGTAATCACGCACATATTACGTCGCAAGTTAAAGAATAAGACTAACCAACTTAATCGCCAGAGACCACGGACTAATAATCAGAAGATTTATAGAAATGGTTGCAGGTCGGTCTTTATTTTCAAGAATAGTTCAGGATTCAGGTGTTTGTTGTCCATGTCGCTTTTTTATCGTTTCATTATTTGATTATCGTTAGTCTGATCACTATCGCGCATTAAAACGGACCTTGTTTTGTGTTTTGATTATGTTATAACATGTTGCCATAGATAGCAAAGTAGGTATCGCTGTGTTACTGGTTTCTGTAGACTGCGTGAAACTTTCTCTCATATTTTTAACCAATATTAGCGAACAATTAATGAGGTGCAGCAAGCTCAATTTTTTCTGTATGATTATTAGGTCGAAGCTGAATTGTTTCCCATTTTAGTGATCGACTTTATTTTGTACTTGTAATAAATGGCTGTGCTGTCCGTAGGAGAGCAAGTTGAGCAAGATCGAGCGGCAACGGTTCAGGGAAGAGGCGGAGATGCTGAAAACCTTACAACACCCGAACGTTGTCTGCTTCTATGACTACTGGGAGAGCAGTGGCGGCAAACGCAAATGCATCGTACTGGTTACCGAACTGATGACGTCAGGCACACTAAAACTGTAACGCGCTACCTTTTCATCTTATAGCCGTATGATGTTCTTGTTTGTAGGTACATCAAGCGTTTCAAGAAGATAAACATCAAAGTGTTAAAATCATGGTGTCGTCAAATTTTGAAGGGTCTAGCGTTTTTGCACTCTCGTAATCCTCCGGTGATCCATCGCGACCTGAAGTGCGACAACATCTTCATCACAGGAACCACCGGCTCAGTGAAGATCGGCGACCTCGGTCTAGCAACGCTAAAGAACAAGTCGTTCGCCAAAAGCGTCATTGGTACTCGCTATGTTTTGTTGTTAGATTCTTTTATGCGCTTATCACGAAGACGAAATGTACTCGAAACATTGTCTTCTGGCATTTGTTGTTGCCTTTTATTTTATGCAGAGGGTTGCATTGCAGGCTGTCTTCAAAAAGTCATTAGGCAGGCTACCTAAAGCTTGCACATCTGTAATAAGGGTCTCAGAGTATATTCATCAGCCGACGTTGTCGCAGCTTTGAATTTAGTCCGTTTAGTTATCGTAATGTCATCATACAGGATGAATGAGTTATCTTTCTTCTTCACACGTCATTCTTCCTCCAGGTTTGCTCGCGCTAATTTCAGTTCAGAGCTCTCCGCTTCTGTTCATAGTCAACTTGCAAAATACCCGTATGCGTTCAAGGTTGATCACACCTTCGTAAAGGATTGAATTGAATTTTGATTTTCTACATAGAGCATAGTTATACGCGGCTTATCCTTTCAGAAAAATTCGCTACTATCCGGAATGTGATTAATTAAGCCATTAATGAAACGGCTGATTTTCTGTAAAGCTCTGTGTGGGCGGGTATACACCAGTATTTCGACCTTGTACCAGATCGTACAGAGAAACCTGAATCACGATACATTCAGTGGGTGACATGGCATCGCGTAAAGTCATTACAGCGAGTTTTTACCCAATGCTTGATCCCAGAATCAATTACTTGTTTTGCCAAAGTTTCAAAACGTGTGTCGGTGACCATCGACGCAAGAGGCAAACTTGATGCATCATTTTGAAGCTTGCTTCGCTCATGCTTGGCGAGACAACTGGAGCTGCATAATTAAGCATAGGTAACATGTTTGCTCAACAAATCCATGCACATCGAGGTTTATCAGGCGACGTACATAATGGAATTCCTATTTGATCTTTTTTAAAGCATTCGTTATGTGTTATGTTATGTTGTGTTATGTTACCATTTTAAGACAAAAGCACTACACCCAAGTGTCTTACTTCTCACACTGCCGACAGAGTTTTACCATTTACACTGTCATGTTTTTGTCCTATATTTGGTAAGGCGTCGCGCTTTGAGTATTCCTCATTTGGATGAATTAGCATGGTTTGAAATGAGACTTTGATCAGACGTTCGACGGCATGAATTTCATTTTCATAAGCTTCCACGTCCTGCCGCATTCTAGTTGATGCAGTAATGCTTAAATCGTCAGCATGTTTTACTCTGATAAACACTGCGTCACGACTTAATATACAGAGAGAACAGCAGTGGATAAGATGGAGAGCCGTGAATGTTCCCAAGGCTGATAAAATGGAGATTTGTTACTCATTTTGTAAACGTAATGTCACGTTTAGTCTTTGAGCCATTTGAATATATTGATATTCGAAGGAAGTAATGCGGGCGTGGCTTGCATTTACTGCATAATATATGGCTTTAGTAACGTACGACACTAGTCATTGAAATTTTGAATTTAAATTCCTTGTGCAGAGATTTGTAATTTGAGCATTCGCCAATATAAATATATACTGTTAGATAGTCTGAGTATTGGGACAGCAATTTTCTGTTTGTTGTTGAATTTCTTCTTGCTACACTTGATTTCGTTGTTTCTGGAGTTTTCAGCTGGAATGAGGGTAGCGTTACCAAAATTCCTGAAACCTGGTTATTGTAAATTTTACAGCATGCAATGAAGGTGCCGAAGCAGATGTGTGTGTTAAATGGGATCGCCAACCGATTCCAAAGTTTTAGGTCAAAATGATGTACTCACGCGCTTGGGTGCTATGTTACATCATACTGTGTTAGCGTTTGCAAACTCAAATCGGCTGATATGGCGCAGATTAATGTATCGATTACCAACTGGTATATTTAATAAATCATTATTTAATTTTATAAATTTATGTAAATTGAATAAATTACTTATGAGTTAATTTTACGATATATTAGACTAAGTACACTGCCGTGTAATACAGGACTAAACATAGTTATTAACTACTGTGTAACATATTGACCACATGTGCCTTTCTGCGCAAAAATTGAGTTTTTACCGTCAAAAGTAACCGCTTTATGTTAGAGCGTAG